CAAGTACGAGCTGGCACTCTCCCTACGTCACTGCCTTGTGACGCTATCTCACTCGCCAATGCTAATGCGTACATGCTGTTTCTTGCAGCGAGCAGCCCCCCACCGCCTACCGCTGAAGTTCCAGAAGCCCCACTGAGCGCCCCTTCAGAATGTGGCGATGTAGTTGCCGTCTTAGATCCGTTTTTGTATCTGTAGTTGCACGGCGGAGCATGAACGCCTGTGCCTTGCTTAGTTTCTCACTGTCAGCTCTCGGTCATAAAGCTAGCTAGCCAGCCTCTCACAAATTAATAAACGCTCAAATGAACGAGGCGGAGCGCTGCGCAAAAAAAAACAAATGGTTATCTTTTTCCAAGCGAAGGTAGTAATGAATTGTCGACTAATTGCCGTTTTGGCCGTTGCTGACGACAGACTTAAGTTGCAGGATGGCATTCTTTTTGAATATATAAAATTAAATACACGTCAACTTGGGTAGGCAAAATAACAGGAAATTTGTATGCGAGTGACTGATTGAATACGGCAAATTTGGTCGGAGCTCACAATAGTAGAAGAGATTCATGGTTATTATGGGATTGCAGACATGCCGAGCTTAAAGCCTCTTACAGTCAGAAGAGAAATCGTGCGCCATTTTGTAGACGTTGGTCTTAAGGCCGCTCGTGGGAACAGTTAGTGTGCAGTTCGGTGGGTTGAGAGCGATGATCTTCTTGATCATGGACTTGCAAGAGGAGGACTTGCACATGGCCTTCTTCTCCTTGGGCCGTGGTAGCGTTTTGGACGTGATCATCGAGTAGCCCGAATCCTTGGAGCACGTGGAGAATGAGGCTTCGGATAGAAGGCTCACGAGTGTATTGTAAGCAGCAGTTTGTTGTTTTGCCGTGCACGCTGCGGCGTTAGTGGATCCAACGAGAACGGCGACGGTGACAGCGATCAGGGCAACGAAGTTCATGTTAAGAATGTGCTGGATGAAGTGGTTGTTGTCGACAATGGAAATTGCGGAATGAGGTACGGTGACGTACGGGGATAGACGACAAGACAGTGATGATGGAGCGTTCCTATGTGAATACTTCAACCGCAGGCTGCGGTCCGCAGCGCAATACCGGTAGTTGAAAGTGTACTGTATTCATTGGTGAATGTAGTACATTCAATGTAGTGAGTGGGCCAAAGTGTACAGTATCTGTAGCAAATTGCTACAGAATCACTGGTACAGTACTATTAAAAGCAATTTGCTAGTGCTAAGCAAACGGTTTGGAATCAGGGATGTATCCTCCGCCAGGATCCCTTTAATCACCTGATGTGCAGTTTGGTTTGGGCTTTAGTGAAGCCTTCACACTGCATGGCTTGCAGTGTCCGGACTTGTGGTCAGTAACCACTGGTCACTACCATGGTGAGGTGCGGAATGTACTTTGCCATGTTTGTCATTGGCAATTCTAGAATTTCATGAGGGTGCTACGAAAATGGTGACCGGGTAGCATTCGCAAAAATGTCTTTACAAAATACGCGTTGGTATCCTGTACGCCCAAAACTGACCGCAATTTTTTATGTTAATTCAGCACCTGTACAACTTGTACAGGTGCTGAATTAACACTTGAAGTACATGTAATACAGGCTG